TGCAAGAAGATACCACATTCGTATACTTAAAATAATTTTTAACATTTGTCCATTTGAGATGTTTGAATGAGATATTTTTTATGTTCGACATATGATTATTTTTAGCATACATAATACCAGTTAAATTTTCATCACATATACTAATAATTAAACAATAGAAAATGTTCTAACTTTTAATTCTCATTATGTTTAAATTATGTATCATTAGATGTGCTAATAATAAGACTATAAAAAATTCTTTTAACTTTTAATTCTCATCAGGTTCAAATTATTTCAATTATATATATTTCAAACTATATATTTCAAAAGTATTATTTTAATATAATGTGATCTATGCAATATGGTTTACCGCTCGTATCAATTTTATTTCTGTCGTTGTTAAATCAGTTTGCTGAAATTTTTGTGTTAATAGATTTAAGCCCGTAAGTTATTTGGGGGCACTTTATAATTTTTTTTTTTTTTATCGTCAAAAATTAATTTTTTATATGTTTTATCTTATAATTTCTATCGATATTGTATTCTATAATTCAAAATTATAATTTATTAATCATAACTAATTAACCCTTATCATTAGTGATGATGAGTGTTTATTTATTAATTAATTATGATTAATTATTAGTTCTAGTATATTAACTAGTGGTAGATAAATTAAGTTCGTCAAATTAAGTTATGTATAGGCACTGTTGTCTCTGCACCAACATTGGTTCAAAAATATAACACTCTCTTGCTCAAATTTATTCTAGCGACCGAACTCGAACATGCTCACATTGAAGAGTTGTCATTCAAGCAAAATTTTTAAAGAATGAGGTTGTTTACGCACGCTGTAAGTGTTTTTCGTAAGTGTGTTAGTATAACCACGGAAAATTATGCTTTTGAATGACGAATGAAAGTTTTTGGTTGACAAACTATCATTCATAACATATTAGCGAGAATCTGAATGATGCGCTCACTAAAATTTTGGTGAACACATGTGTCATGTGTCATTCAAAAGTGCAGACAATCATTTTTGAGTCTCATTCTGAGATTGTCGCTTTTGAATGACACTCAAAAATGATAGTCTGCACCTTTGAATGACACGCAAGATTGTCTCTTTTGAATGACACTCAAAAATGATAGTCTGCAAATATATAGAGTAGAGTACACTAGTTAAGTAGAACAAGTATATAAATAAATCAAGTAAAGACTGTTAGGATATATATTCCAATCAACGAGCCGGTTTATACGTGGAAAAGGAGGACTATAACTTAGTTGGATAGATTCTATATGCAATAATGCAATAGACGGATATACAAGAAACTAGAAAACAATTATGATGCATATTCTATTGGGTATTCTAATATAGCAGAATGCACAATATAAGTGATCCAATCAAATATGACAATGATGATAAGCAACCTAGAAAGCAGCTTGTGTATCAAATGATCTATATCACAGTTGATTGAAATTAATGAATATGAATTAACAAAAAATAATGAATATATGATTAACTTATTTCGAAAAAGGAGCCTAATAAGAGCCTAATTAAACTGCTTATGGGAAAATGTGTTACTTGCCCATAACTTAATGAGTCAACAGTACATTCTATAACTTCCCCCTTAATTTTATATTTTCATTCATAAATTTATTCATTGTGTCGATATACTTAAAAAAAAATTAAATATCGCCTGTGGGTTGTCGATAGAGAAGAATTTCGGTATAAAATCCTTCTTATTGTTTTATTTGAATGCCATTTTTTTTTCATTTCCAACATTTTGGGTTAAACGCAAAATGGCATAATATCATCTACACACTACCAACCATACACACACACACACACACAGACACATACACTTGTGAAGAATTAAAATTTGATTCATCCTTGCAAATTTATAAAGAAATAATAAAATTTTCCGTTTCGTCCTTTAAATTATTTACGCGTTTTTGCACGTAACAATATTGCCGCAAGTATTGCCAACGTAAAAATTGTTCCAAAATAATAGAGAAAATATACAAAAAGGTAAAAAAAATAAAAAAAAAAATTATAAAACCGAAACATTATTTATTTGAAATTGTACGGCAGGTTGACGGCTTTTGTTTTCCATTCAATCGACAGTAAAGGAGCACACAAAGCACGACCATTTGGATCGAGCATGAGCACAGGAAATTGCAACAAAATCAAGGAGGAAGTCATAAATTAGGTAAATATAAATCGCATTCGGCCTTGGGGCTCTTTATGGCGTACATTTCGGTAATAATTTTATTTATGTTTGTCTTAAATTGCTTGAATATTTATCGAATCTTTTGATTTTTACTCCGATTTTAAGTTTTCCAACAAAACTTTGTCAATTGTGCCACGATAGCGTCTACAGAGTATATGGAATAAGGGAAGAAGTTCACCTTAAAGCAAAGAGACTTTCTTAAACAATTATCAGTTCAATTGAGAATACTTTTTTAAAGGTAATTTTATATTTAATTTATATTTGTGAGTTCTGGAAACTCTTTCGAAAGGTAACGAGCCAATCACGGAAGAAACAATTTTAAACACCACAAACTGAAAAGGTAGGGATAAACAAAATATTCATGACAGAGAATAATAGAAGACACCGTACAATAACGAAGCTTTAACAGAGTAAAAGGGTAGGGATAAACAAGATGACGACCTAAGGTTGCAAACTGACACTTTTATTTAAGAAGACAAATAATTTTAAAATAATATAAGACACCCTATAATATCCCAGGTAAGATCCTATAATAGAGTACGACCACAAAAAAACAAGATGTGGATTTATAAGGTGTCCATCAAAAGAAAGGAATGAAGTTGCAAACTCACACTTTTCTTTTTCTTTCAAACCTTTACCTTTACCGGCACCCTGGCAAGAGGGCACATAATAAAAAAACTCAGATTTTCAAGGTGCTCAAAATCAAAAAACTACTGAATAAAATTTAAAGATCAAAGAAAAGCTTATATATTCATCAAGTCATTGAAGGCAGTCTAAAATATTACCGGGTTACTAATAAGGTATTACACACTGAGGTAATATCTTAGCAAAATGAACAACTCAATAGCAAATATTTTCCACTTCTGCGTAACAGAAAAGACATAATATTGATATGCTTACTGATAATTTGACAAGACACTGCAGAGTAAGATATCAACTCAACACAACAGGCGTTGAGTTGATAAAAGTTCAATTTTAGATGGTGTATTGAAATTGATGTTAAGAATGTCTGAACATATTCCCGTAGAAAGCTCTAAACTGAGCAGCGACGGACTTATCTATATTGGTAATAGACTTGTCGCGACTTACAACTCCACATAACACAGCATCAGGTTTTCCGGATTTATTACCATTTACATAATTCTTTAACTAGTAAGCAAAAACTGTCAATTTTTTATGCACATAACATTAACTAACATATTCCAATTTACAGACCGCATATCATCCATTAACAACATGGGAACCTTCCAGGAAATGCATGTACCATTTATTGTCATAATATCATGTACCATTGATAGTATCGTCACCAGAGGCCTAACATTTTAATTGAATAGTTGCCTAACAGTTAAAATGTACATTATTGGCAGTGCAACCAATACACAAAAAAAGACTAAGTTAGATACTTTTTGATCACTCCTAATATTGTAGTTTCGTTTTATAGTAGAAAGACTCAGTTCGATACGTTGTGATCATACCTTCTAGCAAGATTTGTCAGTTCTACTTTTTATAAAGCATCAATAAATAAAAACAGTTGAACATAAATAAATAAACTTTCTTCTTCCGAAATAACTTTTAATACAGAAGATAATATATTGTTCAGCGTTTATTTACACAGTTGGAAAAATATTCCATGGCAAAAAAAAATTAAGATCGTTTTCAGTTTCTACTGATATTTTGTTCATTTTTCATATTTTCAGTATTTTGTTCAGTAATCATATGATCATCAGTGTGAAGACCCTTTGGCGCAGCGGATAGCGCGTTGGACTTCTAATCCAAAGGTCGTGGGTTCGATCCCCACAAGGGTTGTTGAAAGTGCTTTCTGCGCTTTCTAAAGCAAATTTTTTATAAAAATTGTCTTACTTTACATGAAATTGAAAAATTGGATATAATTCGATATAGTAAGACAGAAAGAACAGACATAGTAGTGAATAAGACACGACTAACCATCCCTTTGCTAAGTGGAAAAATAATATTTATTTTAAAAATGAATTTTTATATAATATGATCATATGATTTGAAAAAATATCATATCACATTTGGAATATCTAATGACGTACTAAGTACTCAATAAAAGAGAAAGTGCCATTAAGACAGTATAGAAGTTGCTAACACCGGCAGAGATTTTAATTATATTATTGCGTACTATTAGTGCGAAAATCAACAAAGGAGTCCGTGCAGGAGTTACTGTATCCATCTCCAGAAACGTGCTTGAGTTAGATTTTTGACCTATGGTCTTTTTTGAAGAGATTAATGTAATTGAGATCAGCTCGAGTTGTAACCCTTCGCAAGATTTCAGCTGCGCTAATGTACTAGTCAAACATAGTTCAATATATAATGCCTTTGAAGATTCACTTCTAGACTTTTTAAAGACTGTTATGATGCTCACTATCATGACAGACTGTTATGATACTGACTATAGTGAGTCAAAATCATGTCGTACTTATCTTCTTAAGCCATGTTGCAGAGGATAATAGTACAAAACTGCGAATGAGCTAACTAAAATCGGTTTAACAATACATTTCTGCGGGACAGAATCTTAATACGATAATTTGGTTTTGGAGTTAGATTGTGTTTGACTTACACCTCATTCCAAATACTCACCTAAACAAGTGAAGCGGTTCATCTTTTTACACATTCACTCAGCCAGATAATGCTGTATTGCTTAGTAGATATAAGATGTATATAGTCCAAGCTTGCAACCAGTCAAGTGTATTGAACTGCTAAAGATATTGTGCAATTTGAGATTAAATTTTTACTTTTTGAAATTTGGTTAGGTGGTTCGTGCTTCGGACTGCTAATAGTTCAATTTGTGGTTAATATTTCAATTTCTGGATTTTTTTTAGGTGGTTCCTCCTCCGCTAAGAAGTTTAAGCTCAACTGTTCAATTTTGGAGATTTTTTCAGCTGGATTGTTCTCTAGACGATTAATGGTTTTCATACAATATGCGTGAACACGGGCGCGATTATACTCCACTCGACCGAATGTGTTTGTACAACCGTCACGTGAACAGCCACATGGAAACATTGCCCTATCAACCTAAAATGCAAAATAATGTATCCCAATGAAGTGTTCAATATTACATTGTATCAATTAAAGCTAGATACGTATAATATTTACCTGACATTTTATTCCTGCTTGATTACAGGAACAAGTTTCCGGTAGGCAAATGTCTTCACAACAACAACCACAATTCGATCGAGATTTTCGTATATCTTTACACTCTTTTTCCTCGGTTTTGTCAATTTTGGTTATGCCTGCTGTTTGTAAAATGGAGCGTCTTCGAGATGGCGTAAGTGGTCTTAAAGATTTATTTTTCTTGTTAATTCGAATAGGCAAACCATTTGCGCCATTGCATTGATTTTCACTCTCCACAATTTCTAATTCGATTTCAGCTGCACTATATGTTTGTACTTCTGAATGAGTCCCGCTCATTCCAAGTGTACAGCCACCAGATGTGGGCACAGCACAATTACCTTGTTCACGTTGAAAAGAATATATTTGAATATTGTGAAAATTAATTGAACGGCTTTTCTTGACTTGGTTGACTTCCATTTTTTTTTATTTACTAAAATTCAAGTAGTTTTGAAATTTTTAATCAATTCACTTTTATTGTAAGCAACTGGCAGTTTTTTTCTTAATAATCTAATAATCAAGAGCTTATTAATCATCAGATTTATTTTATCTTTATGCAATTATCTTTAAAGGTGACAAATTAAATTACAAAACTTTTGCAAGTTTAGCAAACAAACGTATGGCGAAATGATCTCTGCTGTTTGAAGAAGATGCAAAACCACAAAAACCATGATGGCGCTATAAAGTCGTCTTTTTTCTCACTGCATTTTATCATTGAACAGGGTTGGCAAAAAAGTTAAGTAAATACTATCAAAGATTGTTCGACGTTTTTGATATAGTTTCTTAAAAGGCGGCTTTGAATTTTGATATCAGAGAATAAAATGTTTTTTTGTATATATATATTATAATATATAAATAATTATATATATATGTAAATATATGCATTGTTGAGTAGAGTTATCAGTGTTAAAAATATTGCTATAATTAAAAAGAATACTTTGGTAATACGTTCCTCTTCAGTTCGAGTAATGATTAAGCGCAGTTCTTATTCCAAACAACCAGAGTTAAAATTCTAGCTATTAAAATTTATTTTTAAATTCAATTATGACAATGAAAACTGTTTTTATAATAGAAACTTCTAAGCAGTAAGTTTTTAAAGCAAATCTCTATATTTGTTGAAAGACAATGACTTAGACAAAACTGTCCTAAGGGTTGATACATCAGGAAATATTTGTTTTTGAAAGTATTTTTGCAGTATCTTATATGTACATTAAAATATCTAATCCTACTAATAAAAAAAAAATCATTTTGCAAGACTTATATTTCAGATATCCGCTTGTGGTTTTTGTAACATGTTGTTTGTGGTTTATATATAAAAATTGTAAACTTTAAAGTTCAATATCTTTAAAAACCAAACTATATTGACGTAAAATATGGTTCAAAATGGTAGTTCAAATAATTCTATTTTTTAAAATCCATTGCTAAATGGGTGTGTTTACAAAATTGAAACCCTATTAAATTCAACATACCATTAGACTGTATCTTTATATGTATTATAAGTAAAAATGTATAACTAAAGTTCATAAGAAACCACTCAGGTAGCTTTTGCTTTCATCCGTTTAACTGCGACTGCTGCTACTTTATTATCTTCAAATAACAGATTTATATCTGTTGACTATAGTCAAATTGGCTCATTATATAGTCTTTTGGCACATGTTTTTACAAGTCACTAAACCCAATTTTTTTAACTTTTAATATTTTTAGTATGTTATAGCTCCATTCTACTCAAAATATGTGAACGAAATACTTACCTTCTGCTTAAAAAGTATCCGGATTTTGTTGCTTGTTAACTACTCCTTAAGTAATAGACCTTTTTCAAAATTTTATTATATTGGTACACCCTTTCTTGACATATGATACAATTAGGCGCCATCTGTCAATTAGTTTGTTTACAACAGCTGTTAATGTGAGACTACCTCAAGTGCATTTAGCGATTTTTACTATGGAAAATTCTTGTTGTACGCGATTTTTTGACCAAACACGGCACCACTGTCCTCGCTCAGGCACTTTATTCGCCAGATCTGGATCCGTGCGACTTCTTCCTGTTCCCGAAGCTCAAATTGCCCCTTCGTGATAAACGTTTTGAGTGGTTTGAATCGGCAAAAGAGAATTCGCTGAAGGAACTACCTGCACGGGTCTACGAAAAGCGTATGGAAGATTGGGTTAAGCGTTGGCATATGTGTATCGCTTCAGAAGGAGCATATTTTGAATGAGATAAAATAAATTTGGAACAAAATTTAAATTTGTGTGTTTTATTTACAAAATCCGGGTACTAGAAGAAGATATATTCAGTTATTGTTCCAAAACATTATCCATAAGAACTGATAACTGTCCATTAGTGTTGAGGTTAAATTAATTGTGCTTAAAAATCAGCTGATCCATTCTACCATAACAGAAATTAGGTTATGATAGGACGATAAGAATTACATTGCTTTTCTTTGCTTGCGACGTGTTTGGTCATCGGATTGAACTTTCTTCATATTTTTATTTTGTGTAACAAGTTTCTGTCTCAACTAATCCCTTCCATTATCCCTTCCCGTTCTTCCATTATCATCTCTATATGCGTTAAGTCTTAAACTAATTAAAGGTTTACATTTATATTTTATTTATAATTAATATGCAGATTATAGCAATAGTATGCATATTATAAAGCAAAGAGTTATAGCAGCAGGCCCTATATACTTTATACAAATGACATATTTTTGCTATAAATTCCAAATGTTTATATCATTGGCAATAACCATAACAATAAGTACAGTTTGAACTTCATTACGAATCAATAGAATAATGGGTTGTAAAATATGCTATATGGTTCATATCTTCGCTTATTGAATAACTTTTTTATTTTGGTGTCAAAAAAACGAAACACAATTAAAAAGCAGCAAATAGTTTACATATTCACAAAGTGCTTAATATTTTTTACTATTAGACAGAAATATTTAATAACAAAACAGAAAAAGATCTTGGACTTTTCTGCAAAGTATTTAAGTCCCATTTATGTTTCTATTTACATACATTAAAAACATATAAATAAACCTTTGCAGCAAATTCATTTGGTTGAAATTAGTTCTTTTGATTATAAAGTTAAAATGAATATTAAATGTTATAATTTTGTATTTATTAAATAAACAATTATTGTTATTATTAATTATAAAACAAGAAAATATTTCAATTTTACACAAATTCTGTAAATAATGTAAATAAAACTTTCTTAATTTTTTTCTTTGCCTTCATTTACCTGCACTAAAGACATTGAATAAAACGAGTGATGCTTCGCGTCGTGCAATAAAAACCGATGTGGCTATGATGTTCGTATGAAAGAAAAAGAAAAATAATAAAATTATGCGGCAAAAATTGTATGCTTCACTAAATTACCAAACGCTCAGAAATGCTCAATTTACAGATAGTAACCCACATAAAAGTTTTACAAGAACTGTATTTATCAGTTTGATTGCACTGAATGTTACAGTTTTAATATTGCTGTAATCTAATACAGCTATAACTTTCAAACTGTGTAAGAGTGATTTCAAACTGTTGGTAATTTCAAACTGTGTATCAGTGACTTTAAAACTATTTTAGTTTTCATTAGTGGCTCTCAAACTTTTTAAAAGTTACCCCTTGCTATACATGGAGGATTTATGAGAGCTTGGTATTTCGTAAAGATATTTTTACTACATAATTTTTAGGTAGAATCTAGGTTAAAACGGTTTTCAATAATGATGGATGTGTTGTATTTGGCATATGACATATTTGAACAACTTTTTTCTTTATTTTTATTTTATTTTTTTTTTTTACTTTGAAGCAGACAGGGTTTTGTATTGTTTTGTTTAACATTTCGGCTCACATTTGAGTGTATAAAATTGAATGAATAAATGGAGTAGAAGGAAGAATGGTATAGGAAAAATATTAAAGCCACTTAAAATTTAAAAAGAAAAATTTTTGAAAGACGTTATGATTTAAAATGTTTAAAAAATTTAATAATAAAAAAAAATTTTATAATAATAATAATTTTATAATATTAATAATAATATAATAATAATAAAATAATTTTATTTAAATACTTAAATAAATTGTTTTAAATTATGTTAATAAATATCATGTTCCATCAGCTCATGTCCGCGGCTTCACACATTTTCTTTTAAATAAAAACTTCTATATTTTACTAAAAGTTTAATAGGAATATTCGTTGGCAGGTACCATTATACCTATATAGACAATCTAATCTGTCTGGGCATTCGAAAAAAAAATATACAAAGAAAATTCGTTGGATACATTTTAACTTTTACAAAAGGAATATATAAGAACTTACAATTTTTTCAGAAATTAGAATTATACGAATCTGTTAAGTACACACGAATTTATATCAACATATTTAGAGACAATTTCATAGTCGTAACTTAAGACTGAAAATTGACCTAAGTACTAATTAGGTCAATAAAATTGATAACTTCAGAGTGACTTAAGTCTGTAAGTCTATAGTATCGAGTGTGATACCAAATAATAACTGTACAAGATATTCACAATTTATAATTTAAAAAAGGCGTATGAAAGGTAACATCCCTAAGAAGCAGATGATGTCTGTCTTATCTTTTACTTTAATATGGTATAAATTTCTTGAAATTATTAATGAAATTATTTCAGGAAAATTATATTAAAGTAAAAGGTAAGACAGACATTATCTGCTTCTTAAGGATAATACCTTTCATACGCGTTTTTTAAATTATTTAAAATTTGAAAAGATATATGGGAAAAGGAACTTACCTATATTATATATAAATTGTGTATAAAAAAATTCAAAAATTATAAATTGAATAAGACATGTAAAATATAATACGTTTTGTAAGCGAATTGTGCATAAAAGCTCACCAACGTGAATGACCAAGCACTGTACTTACCAGATATAGTCTCGAGTATATATATAGTCTATAACTGAAGCTGAAACAATCATTTGAAGGAAGTCATGTTGTTTGACTGCGGTCAGAAAAATCAATTGACCGTTCGTTAGTAGCATACAAGGAATCGAAGCCCATACCTAAATCCGTCTATGATAATAATATGCAGAATTGTTTTACGCACTGGCATAGATTAATCACTTTTTTATAAGTTTTATTTTATAATTATTAACTCCACGATTTATGATATTTATTATATATAAATTATTTCTATACCCGGCGAACGTTGTTTCCCCTTGCAATTAATTTTGCTGGCGTTCGTTGCCTTGCTCTTGACTTTCATTAGCACGTGTAATTGTATCCTGGTTTCTTACATCTTCATTGTTTTCTGCCGATCTATTTAACCGACGGTTCTGGAGTAATTGTGAATTCCGAGTCCGTCGACCAATATTTCCTCCTCGTCCACGAAGACGTGGCATTGTTTTTTGTACGATATTTATATCTTTATATATATAATTCTTCTTTTTTGTGTGTTGAATTTTTGAATTTCGCTGGATTTACCAGGAATACCACCACATAACTTAAGATTAAAAATTGGCTCACCTATAATTATGCTGCGGAATTTAAATGCACTTAAGCTATGCAAGGGCAGTTTTACAATTCATTTTAGAGATTTTAAAGTTTTTAAACAAATCAAAGTAAGCATGAATAAATTTTAAATTTTTAATATAAATGTATATGGATAGCAAAAAATAAAAAATTGATTGAAAAGACATTATCCAGTGGGCCAAATTGTGAATCTAAACCTTCCTTGAATCCACTTGAACACACACAAAAAATTTCATCAAAATCGGTTCAGCCGTTTAGGAGGAGTTCACTGTCAACACACGTACAGAAGAATTATATATATAAGATATTTATTATATATAAATTATTTCTATATGTTACATATTTTATATTAAGGCATATGAATGGTTATACTTATCTTTAAGTTTTCAACTTGCCTTTCTCCGAAAGGAGTTTTAAAACTTACCGTCAGGCCCTACTTTTCTTGTTATGAATTCATACTGGCGTTAACAATTGCTTTTGACTTTAAGAAACAACGTTTGGGGCCCTTATTACGAGAGGATCAGAAATCTTTTTTAAATTAATCCGAATACATTGCAATTCTCTAACTCAATATTTATAATAGTTATCTGACTATTACCTTGTTTTTCCTTTTGCCGCTTTGACCAGCTACAATCTTTCATCTTACTCTAATTTTTTTTATACAGGATCTGACGCAAGATCTGACTTTTAATCCTAATATAGTCTAGTCAAAAAGCGTGTTTTAAAATTATTAAAAAAATGCTTAGTGGTTCTGTGTCGGGAATAAAGTTTCAAGCGCTCTATAAAATCTCAAAAACAATATAGAGGTACAACTAACTCTATCCTGTGGCCTATTCAAGGAGAAGGAAATCAGAGAGCTGGATTCACCCCTTGACAAACAATTTGATAATCTCCAGGTAATACACTGCAAAAACACTACCAAAAAAATTATTTTCTAATATATGCCTAAACCTCTTCCCACTTGACACCATCCTGGCTATACCACTGAGTCTATTTTTTATTGTAAGGGTCTCACCTGTTTATGGGTAGCGGACTGCCATCCAACTTAACCAAATCTAATCTAATATTTGATGTCATCACTACATTTAACTTTAAATACGAATATAGTTTCTTATAAAACAAGTAGATATAGTTGAAAAATTTCTCAATATTAGGTTAATAAAAACTTATTTTATATAACGTAATACATATTTTAATTAAAGTATATGTAACATAATTTATAAATTATTTAATACCTACTGTATATATATAAATGTAGATCTCATAGACAACTTGTATCTCAATTCTAAGCTACCCGAATTTCATCTTAATAAGGCAAATTTGATTATTGCTGGACGAATTTCATCCAGGCTAGGCGAATTTAAACTAGGCTAGACGAATTTAAACTAGACTAGGCGAATTTAAACTAGGCTAGGCGAATTTCATCCAGGCTAGGCGAATTTAAACTAGGCTAGGTGAATTTGATCTTGGCTAAGTGAATTTTATCTCGACTAAACGAATTACTTAAGTGATAAGATTGTCTTAGTGATGAGATTCGATGTTGTTATGGATTACCTATATAGCTACGATAGTGTTTTCTTGTTAAACGCTTATTATATATAATTTTTTTTAATATTATATGAAATGTGGTTCTTAAGGTATTTTGTTTTATTTTCAAAAAAAATTTTCACCAAGCAGTGGCTTCAGATATTAGTGTATATAGAGACTCTGTTTAAAGGGGATTTGTGAAAAGTTTATATAAAAACATTTAATTTAAAAAATGCATTTTATATGGTGTTGTGTAGTATTATCCGAAATATTTTGAAAGGAAATGTGTAATTGGTGCTAATTTCGTGAATTTAGTGGAGTTTGTGACTGTATTTTAAACTCCCATTCCTTTATATGTCACTGACTAGACTGTTTCGAATCGAACGTAAGATATAATTCATATTACATTAATCCTATTATTGTATATTATTTTAAATTTATTTCATCTTTTTCAAATACATTTTTTTATATACCAAAAAAAAATAACTATTTATTATAAATATATATTGACTTATATCCTTATGCTAAACTTAGCCAAATAAATAGTGTGGACACCAAGAAAATACGGTGGAAAAGTAGAGGTCTGTATGCAGATCGAACTTCATAACAGCATGGCTTGAAATGCCAGTATAAAAGAGGCCCTCCTTGAAGTAATGCGAAAGCAGTTCCGTGGGGTAATAAGTCTCGCTGAAGAGGGAATGTTTTAGTCCGTATACTACATTTTAATGTTAGGGAATCGAGCACACCATGCCGATGATGGTCGGTCGGTCTGATGGTGTATAAAGCATTTAATCTCCTCACCACAAAAACAAAAAAATATACTTGTGAGCCAAACATTTAACTTTTTAATGTTTTATATCCTAGTGCTTATAGAATAAAATTAACATATATCCTACATTTCTACTTAAACTAATTTATGTCGTTTAAATAATTCTAAACTTATAAAGAACCCTCTTCTACAAAAAAGGTTTTGAATTCAAAATTTTACGAAAATATCTTGAAAATCCTCTTCTTTCGTGCTCTCTTCACTCACCAACCAAACATAATACTTACTGCAGTTTTTCAATCTAATAACTCGAAATAAATAAAAAGACATATTTTATTATTTTATTTGAAAATTTATTTCAATACATTTAATACCTTTCGAAACTTGTTTTATTTCTCACGTTTATTATCATTAATTTTATTGTAATTCAGTTCTCATTTTGACAGATTCATTTATCAATTTTTGTATATAAGATGTCCTTAAGTTTTAACTTTATTCATAGGTCCTTCTAAGCTATAGTGTCAGAACTATTTTTGAACCAAAATCTTTAGCAGTTTAGGTAATATTATTTAGGTTCACGACAAACTACTAATTTCTAATAGCAAATTTTGGACTTAAAATATAAGAGCTAAGCTTGAATAAGGAATAAATCTTTATAAAAAAATTTTTACAATGTCATTAATTTGATTAGAATTTATAATAAAACAATACGGAAATAGTTTTTTTTCTTCTTTAGGAAAGTGAATATTAATTAATAATACAATTTAAAACTTTAAAAATATATTATTTTACTATATACAATTACGAGTACTTAAAAAATGAATTACAAATGAATTATTTTACTTTAGAAAAATATTCAATATTTGTGATTTGTGCATTAAACGCCAAACCACGCCTACTACTTAGTTAAAAAAGGCAATAAAATTATAAATATTTTAAAAATGCACAGATTTAGTTCGTTTTTGAAACTCAAGTTCAGTTTTGCTTCGCTCAATAATTTTCTTAAAAATGCAAATAAAATTAAAAAAAAAAAGATAAAAACTTCATGGAAAGCTTCAATATTCACAGAAATAAAATTCAAATTGAAAATTACTAAAAAAAAACTAGTAGTACGTTTATAGGTTACAGATACATTATTAGAGCAGCGTCATACATATTGAACTAAAGTGGGTGGGAAAATATAAACGCGCCTACTTAGAGTCTAACTACATCATCCTAAACTCACAGTTAAAGTTCTAGTGATGATGTCGTCGTTGTCGTTGCTGGACATGATGATGCTTGCAGGCGTCTGCGCGTCGTAGGACTTCCGCATAGGATAGATCTAGTTTTTTGAGCTTATGTAAATCTTGCGAAACTGTGCTGGGACGATATTCAATACCGTTCATATCGAGTTCACGTCCACGCAAGCTAGCGCACTGTGGTGAATTCATATTACGATTGTAAATCACCATTGAGCTGCCATTCCATTCATATCTTGTCGTATTGCTGCCACGTTGATGTTTGGATTGTGTACCGCTTTGTTCCGGCGTTGTGGCAATAGGAGATTCAACAAAAGGACGTACATCCTTACGTTTTCTACCGCTGGCCACAAAGATGCGTGGCGGTGATGGCAAAGCGATTGGTGAATCAGAACGATCGTTTCCATAATTACGATTCTTTTTGCGACTCTTCTTTTTAACGCCCACAACGACAGATAAATATTCGAGCGGTTCACGCTTGAGCGGTGTCAGCACACGTCCATTCTCTACAATTTGCTTAACACTGGGCGCATTGGCCAGTTGTGAAATGGATGTGCTCACTGTTGGCGGTTTGTTTTCTTGATTCTTCTCAATTATATGTTTTTTGGCAGTTTTTCGTTCCAATTTTGTGATGCATTCAGACATGGCAAATGACTGTTCCGAGACAGCAGATGAAATAATGCTCTGTGTATCATCACCAAAATCAACTGGCAACTCTTCATTTGCGGGCGTTACTGGTGGCACCTTAGCCACAGCGCCAGTTGCGGTTGGATGCGTATCATCGAGCAATGGTAATTTATCGCCTTCTTCTTTATTTTCAGCGGCCTTCTTTAAAACAGCGAAAATTTCCTTAAACAATTCACGATATTCAGGTCTATTACGGAAGCGGGAATCAATGGGACTGGCATCGTCATAAATACTAAATTTGCAATCTTCGCCATCACCAATGGAACACAAAAAGTAACCAGGCCTATCATCAGTTTGTGTACATTTATTACTCGTTTCATCGGAATAGCCCGAAGAAGAAGTTTCGGCTTCAGAGAATTCAGTAGGTGTACGACCACGCGCTGACTTACTACCGGATTTATCGTTTGTTGTGCTACCATTGCAACTGCTGGCTGCATCACCATTGGTGGAAGCTGCAGCTGCTACAGCGGCTTGTAGCATTAATTTTTGCGTTTGATTGAATTCACCGGATGACTGGAACTCCTCGACCAGTGACATGCCATTGCTACTCTTACGCGCTATTGAGGAGCGTTGCACTTCCAGCAAAGCTTCGTATTTTTCAACCAAATCACGATACGGGTTCGGACTGGCTGGCGTATCTAAGTCCAGTGAGTCTGGTATACGTGATGAAATCTGAAAAATGGTTTATATAATTGGGTTTGAAGTGGTTAATAGATGTATGGCATGGCTTGGTAACATTTAATATTTTTTTTAACGTTTGGTTTATGGTAGCGGGAAGAGAGCAAAATTAAAATTAATCATTTACAATATCGAAAAAGAAAACTAAACATAAAAACTGAATAAAATTATTTTTAATTATTTAGAGTCATGCAAAAACAACAAAAACAAAAACTCTTGATAACAAGAAAAAAAATCATGTTTAATATAAAAGAACAGAAGATCGCACAAATCACTTCAAAACTTGGTATTTTATGCAAAACAAAAAAATATATATTAAAAATATAAACATTTTACTTATGTTACAATTAATATTTAAATTCTTTTATTATTAACAAAATAAATTAAATTAATGTTTAATACAAAAAATTTTTTCTTTAATCGAAAACAAACTAACATTATATAGAGGCGCGTCAGACAACTTCACATGTGGAACGAGGATGGGAAGCTTAAAAGTTATGGAGTAGTGGAAAATTTGGAAAAGAGAGAGAGAGAGAGAGAGGCGATCACAGGATAAACGTAGGAAATATAGAGGAAAATTATTAATTAATACTATAATAAGAAGTATTAAGAAGAGGAAACGGAAAGAGCTAATGAGATGGGAAAGAGGCAGATCAGTAAATAAAAAAGACAAGCCCACAGTTTATAAATTTAGTGAACTAAAAAGATTATGTGTAAGAGAGAGGACATGATAAAGGAGAAAAAGAAAGCAAATGTAATAAAATATAAATGCCGATTTCATAGTCGTAACGTAAGTCTCACTACTGAACTAAGGTTTGCCTAAATCATCAACTTTGGTAAGTTAAATCATACTTAAGTTGGTATTAAGACTTACTTAAGTAAAGTTTAAATCACCAACTATGGTAACTTTGGTAATTTAAGTCATACTTATGTCAGTATTAAGACAGGCTAATATTGCGAAATCGGCCCAAAGAATATTATAAGTTCTAACCTTTCGATTTTTATAGATTTAAGACAACAACAGACTTTGAGACACAAGTTAAAAAAAAAAATTAAGTCTATGCGAAACAGTAGTGAAACAGATAGGAAGAAAATAAACAGATTAAAACAAAGAAGAAAAAAAATTGCATGTGGAAAGTTCGGACCATAAATAATTATATCGGAATAGATCGTATAGATACTAATTATAAAATGCACAAAAAAGTACTACATAAAAAGAAGATAATATTATAAGACAATACAGATACAGGAAAATATGAAAACTACTAGATAATGATATAATATTTTAAAAAAATGGATCTATGTAGAAAAAAATTGAAAAAAAAACAGAAAATTATAGTTGAAACTGTTAATTAATGAATTGAAAAAAATAATCAGAGAGTTATTATAAATTATAGTTAATTAATTTTAATCGACTATAATGTTGCAAACCAGTTACAAATAGAATAAGGAAAATTTTGAACGATAAGAATAAAGTAGGAACGAACATTTACGAAGAGTCATAAGAATATATATTTAACATGATCATCTGTTTAATATGAATATTTGTATGACAAAAGTAACCGTTTAACAAAGATAACCGTTTAATAAGGGGTATCAAGAAGGGTTTCTGCTCAATAAGAGTTTCTATTCTATAAGGGTGTCTATTCAATAAAAGTATCCATTCAATTAAAGTCTCCATTCCATAAGGGTATCAGTTTAATATGGGTGCCAACTCAGCACAAGTATCCCTTTAATATAAAAGTTTGTTCAACGTGGGTATCTGTTTAACATGAATGTCTGTTTAATATGAGTGTCTACTTAACATGGGTGTTTATTTAAGAAGAGTAGTCATTTCGCAAGGGTACCCATTTAACAAGGGTATCCATTTAACAGGGGTGTGTATGCAATAGAGATGTTCGCTTAACAGAGATGTGGGTTCAATAGAGGTCTTTGTTTAACTTGTGTACGTTAAACACAAATATTCATTAAGCAACGTTGCCCGTTTAATAGGAGTGTGTATTCAATAGATTTGTTCGTTTAGCAGAGGCATGGGTTCAGTTGAGATGTCCGTTCAATGGGTGTGCCCATTTTAAAAGAGTGTCTGTTAAACTGTTGTTTACATAGTTGTCTGTGAAGATAATTTTCACAGTATTATGCAAAAGTAATGTATCTTAAAATAGACTTATTCTTTTGAAAATTAATAGAATGAATATAGGATAATATTGCAAATATTTTCACGTTTGTGTGGGTATACTAAGGTTTTAATAAACTGATATGTATTTTAGTTTTTATTTTTGATTTTCTTTTACTGACAGAGAGATAAAATACAAAGACTTACACTTCTATTTAGAGTGAAGAATTGTGATCATAACATATTTTGTACTGCATTTCCTTACAGATACTTTAGTCGAGACACCATTTCTTTGGGATATGAGGATTTATAAATAAATGTTCTATAGTTAACATAAATACTATCTAATTTTCAATAGTTTTTTAGATACTTCAAATTTTTTAGCATAATGGTTTTAGCGCTACTTTTTAAAATTAATAGGGTCTATTGTTTTAATGCTTTTCCTTATTTATGTTGGGTTTTTAATAAGTTAAAATTATTTTTTATTCAGAATTTTTGATTTTTTATATTTTAAAAATTTTTAGGGTTTTAATTTTTAACTGATTAAATTAATTTTGCTCGATAGTTAACGAAATGTTAGAAGTTAGTAAGCAAAAAATGTTTAATAAAAGTATTATGGCAAGTGGATGGCTTTCAGCTGTAGTTAGTAATTAATGGATAGTATTTAGGATTCATATATATAGTAATATGTATATATGAAAAGTATATATATGGAAATTAGAGAAGATAATAATATTTTGGAACAGAAATTGTCTCACGCACTTTCTATACTACTTACTTAACTAAATAAACAGTAAATAAATTAATATATAATTAAAGTTACTACAATTAATTAACCACACATAAAAAATAAAACAATTTTTAATACTAAAACTAATACGAATAATAAAAAAAAGTCTTGGCACTGTTAGAATCGTTTTATACAAAAAGTTTTTATGAAACCAATTTGTGACAAGTCGAGCATTTTATTTCTTTAAATAAAAATTGTGACCCTGTATAATGTATTTAAATAAAATAATATTTAATATCGTTCGAAGAGTTATAGGAACATTAAAATAACACACGAAAATGAGTAACGCCTTCTATTGAAGTCATAGAAATCAAACGATAGCTGTCATTATTATATATAGTTTGCGAATACTAAATATATATACTACAACATATAAATATAATTTTAATTAGTGATATGTACACTCGATAGATGGCGCTAACTGTTGAGAGTTATTGTTAAGGTTCCAAAACTTTTTACCTCAATGGTTTATACCCTTTGTGATGGAATATTCATTCCTAAGTACTTTTTTTCTTTTAATCAATGCAACAAAAAAATATTAATTTAAGAAAAATAATATTAAATAATGCCGGTTATGATCACACATGAATGTTAATAATTTAAAGGTATTAAAAAAAAAAAAACAAAAAAAAAATTATAAAACAATTAATTTCTTTTAAATATTAACGATTAATGCGTTTTTACATCAGAAAATCAATGCGAAATCCTCATCATCTGGTATGGAATTGATCATACGGCAAATGACTAAGGCGGGCCATTGCAGAATTTTGGCTATCCACCGCACTACTGTGAACTTTCTCATTGTTTTTTGCCATAAATTAAGTATGATGGCTTCTAATGAGTTTGGCAATTGTTCATGCAGGTACTTTGTGGTTGGTTTTAAACAAATTGGGCATGTTGCTTTGTCAGCCTAATGAATCGAAAATAAAAAATATATAATATAGAGAAAAAAAATTAAACGAAAATGGTTAATTGATCGAGTATAGGTAAAGGTTACAAGTGATTTGACACAACATTCCTGGAGTAGGAGGACAGTTCTATAATGTGAAATGTATGCTGCATTAAAAAAAACCATAATTTGCTTAAATCCATTTTAATTAATATTATAGTAACACACAAGAAAAAATGTTAGTAAATATGAAATACACTCAAAACGACAATACTACTACAAAGAACATGCAAATTGAACAAACGACAAATTGTAAAGATTTGTCAATAAAAAATAATTAATTAATGAGAATGCGGCTATAATTATAAAAATTAATAATAAAATTATACAAAATAACATAAATAATAATAAAAGAGTTAATTACCGTATAGGCTTTACACTTTATTAATTACAATAGAAATTAGTTAAATATGCTTCTATATTAAAATCACATTATGTACGATTGTTTTAATATATATATATATGCGTATGTAAGCCATTACATTTTGCATGAATAAAAATATAACCAAATACTTACATATATATATTTAAACTAAAAAATTAAAAATTGCACCCTCACATTTTATATGAATAAGAATATAACAGAATACTTTTATATATGTATATCGTTTAACTAAAAATTATTTATATTCGAAAGTAAGGAACAAAATAATGCTTAATGTATTTAACAATTAATTTTCGTCCTTTCTTCTACAACTACCAAGTAAGATTTTTTTTAAATAATATATATTGTAAATAATACTGTTCTTAGCATCTCAAAGCCTTTCAATTAATAATAAAAATTTAAACTATTAAACTACGATAGCAAAGAAATGTATACTTTGCATGTCAATTAAAAAATAAATTCTATATATTTTATTTTTAATTGATAAACTATTTTCATCATATAAAATTACACAAAATATAAAACCGATAGTACATATATAACACAGTAGAGAAAAAATAAATATTAAAATAAAAACTAAATTATTAAAAAAAAATAATAATAATTTCAGTAATTGTGATATATGCAAATGATTTATGCCAATTATGTGCAATTCATGTGTTATTAATATACATTAATTATATTAGGTGATCAGGAAGTCATACAATTGAACAAGAATGGCAGAATGTCAGAATGTCAGAATGGCATGGTTTGTTGATGTTCATTGATTGCATTAATTATCATCCGCGCATAAAATTATAGAACAATGTTTTAAAGTAAAAACAATTTCTCACCTTAATTGATACGTTCGGTCTGTAAGCAACCTGTGATTGTTCACTAGCATTTTCGTCACAATTAGCATCCTCTAATTCTAGTAAACTACGCTCCTCGTGTTCTTCACCCTCCTCGGTAGGCGCTATGGAAGATTGTTCATCGTTCACCGTCAGACGATCTTCAACACTACGCAAGCAACGGCTACACATTTGGCCTTGTCTGAGATTTTATACATTTTGTAGATACATTAAATATACAATATAATATATATAATATATTAAAATACTTACCGCACTTCGTCCAATATGGACAATTCTTCATGCATTGATTTCATTTCCTCATTTGAGTTTGTTTGAGCAATGCGACTTTGTAGAGTTTGATTCTCTTGAACTGTGAAAGAAATTCAGCATTAATATTTATAAAATATAGTATAATATATATATATATATATTATAAATTATATCGTCTAAAATATATACGTTTAATATATGATATAACATATTTATTTTATACATGTTGTGTTATGTTATGTTATGTTGAGGTTTTTCCGAGTTAGTGCATCTGTGCACTTTTACTCTATAATGGCTGGGGGGTTTCTGCACAATCCTACCCAACTCACTGACTAATTTGAGTATTCCTCATAATCTTCGTGATTATTCAATGATTGATCTAAGATCTGCGTACCGTCCCGTGCAGTTAGTGATTACTCTGAGATTAGATAATTAGCCTTGTTATCATTGCAGACCAAATAGACATTTTCTATTTCTTAGGAAATTTAATAAATTTGGTTTCTTCATGTTCGGAGAAACTCTGCAAAGATTTGTAAATAGCGCTTAATTGTCAAGGACGAGTGACTATATAGGATATATCTGACAGTTTCACAAGCCAATACATTTTACTGTCTTTACTCACAGTTAGGAATAGTTGACATTTTTTTTTATAGTTACAAGGTTTCGAATAAAAAGCAAAAGAGAACAAAAATTTTAGTTAATTTATTGCAATTTGAGTGATCGCTTCGAGTGTGGACATTCAAATTTCAATAAATTAACTAAAATTTTTGTTGTTATCTTTACATTTCTATACGAACCTTTCTAACTTTTAAATAGTTTCTTTTCGTCGTAAAACGCGTTTTTTTCAAGTTCCACTTTAAATGAAATAAGCAAATATTTAGCAATTAATAGTTCGTATCTATCTCTATCTCTAATCTATTATCTTAAATAACATACTGTGAATAATAAGACATGATAAAAATGTTACATGGGAAGAAACTATTACAATTACCATTTTATTTATTTTTACTAAAATTATTACGAACATTATATTAAAAGATTTATAGCTCAACTCAATTAATGTACTACACTATTTTCCGTACATAACCTATTAAGAGCTAAAACCAGATTTACGTGCACTCATAACACTCCCATTTACTTACTTATGGCTACTAATTGTTCTTCCAACTCCGTACATCGTTGTTGTTCGCTGATAAACGCTTTCTTTGTTGATTCCAGATCATTTACAATCTTAATAATTTCCTCATTTTCATCACCATTACCACAAATCAAGCTCAGTGCAGTTATATCATTGATATTTTCTGTAATGCTAGTTGAGTTGGTATCAGATGACGACTGAAATAAGAAGCTACACTGCTGTTCTACTGTACTCGTATTTGGCTCAAAAACCTAAGAGAACAAAATTAACATAAATTAGACCACGATTTGTAGTGCTAAACCCCAACTTACCGTATCTATTGAACTATCATGGACATTTGTGGATTGCATATTAATTTCTTTAGGTTTGAAAATTACATTTGTATTATCGGCACCAGCATTTCTCTTTTCTTCCATTAGCCTTTCAACTTTACGCCGTTCCATGGACAGAGATTGTCGCGCTTCTTCAAGAATTTTCGTGAGCTCATCACAACGGGACTCGAGAGTTTCAACATTATGCACAAGGCTTTGATGGATATGAAAAAGATATTTTATTTATTTTATTTTTGTGTTTTGTGTTTGTAATTATTTAGGAATGGGCAAAAATTTTGTACACTTACGTTTTAATGTGCTTTTTATCGCTGGTATTTTCGATAAGTAAACGATGATTGGCACGTTCTAAATCTTGAATGCCCACTTCTAATTGCTCGTAAACTTTAAGGCGGGAATCGTTGACCTCACGCAAAGCGGTTGTGTGCTTCTTCAAATACTAATTAGCAGCAAGAAGAGAAGAAAATGAAAAAGATTTATTTAACTTTTGTTTTTTTTTTTTGTTTTAAATTTATAAACACAAATTACTAAAAATAGGGTCTGAGGAAAAAATTTCACATTTAACAAAATAGCATAGAATTTTTTTTTTTTTATTGTATTTGATCGATTCGAAAATGCGGAAGTCGACAACACTTGCACGTAAGTGGGTCAATCAGAGTTCTACTCTTGGCACTTTGATTTCGAATTGAATTAAGAAAAAAATTTACTGAAAGAAAAATATAATTAGAAAATGTAAATTCAATACGTTTGAGATAAAATAAGATATGCGCTAAGGTAGAGTCAAAGGCATGGAAACCTTTCCACATGAGTAAACTTATAGGATCTCTGCTCTACATGCAACAGCATTGCACCGAAATGCACTGGAAAAGAAATTCTTCTTAGATTACCAGCAGGCAGCTTAATTGGCTCAAGTTTTATGCTTCATTCGGTTTCATTTCGCAGCAGCAGAAGCAGCACCAACAGCACCGCTGAGGTGCTCCGGCGTCTCATGTTGGCGCTACTGGAGTAAGGAATTTTGGTTATTTGGCCAGAAATGTATGCCAATGTTGTGTGATCAAGCATAACATGTAAGCTCGCTTAAGTGCAGTAGTAGGTGCAGTTGCAACAAAAAAATTAGTTTGGAAACAAAATAAAACAATTTTTTTTGGAGCTGTTAATTTTCTTTCTTATACTCGTACTTGGAAAAAATTATAATCTGTATCTGTATTAAATGGGGTTTCAGCACCAGTTGTGCATTCAAGTCTATATTTTAGCTAAATAAGCACTGCCATAAGCAAAATTAAAAGAGTTGTGTTTATGGGTGGAGAGAAAAATTAATATTATTGAAACTTCAAAGTATTATTACTTTAAGTAATAATGGGGTAAGGTTATTTGTTATATTGTTTCTGGTTAGTTTATTATTCTCAAACTAATTACTTTTTTAATTAGAAATTGATCATCTAATTGTAGTTCAGTTTATGGAGGGTAGTAGGGTAGTATAATGCTGGTCTATTCACGACAACTAAAAATTACATAGAAACAAGTTTAAGGTTATATATTTTAATGAAAGTTTTGCATTTAAGAAAAAAATATATTTTCCAATATATTATGACTAAACACTACACTAAAGAACAATATACAAATTATAATTATTTTTTTATTAAATATAAATGTATTCTGTTTTTAAAATTAACTTCCGCACGTTGGAACTTTGGATAGCTATTTTTGGCCCTTAAAAGAATACATGTTCACAACATCAAATTAAGTGAATATAATACATGCTGTGGATTGAAAGTATAATTCCCTTCTTTATGTTATGGCCATACCAATATAATAAGAGTTTAATTACATACATAATATACACTATCTATTATGTTAAGGCTAGTTGAGTTAGTGCACTTGAGCACTTTTACTCTTTATTAACTGCGCGATTTTTTCATAACCCCACTCTACGCCTTGACTGGATTATTGTTTATCACTTCATCAGACTAAGCAATAATTGACCTCAGATCTGCATACCTCCCCGAGAAGCCTGTATATTAATTTAAGGAATTGTTGTGTGTAATTTGTGATTTTCATAAATTTTTAACCTTATTTTGATTAGTTTGACTAAGGTATCATGGTACATCCGAACGAATGACATGCTAAGAAACCTTAGAAAAAATCCGGTCAAAAAATATATAAGGGACAGAGCTCTGGAGCTATATGCGAAAACCGAAAGCATGTCCTACTTAGCACCATCTAATCTCAGAGTAATCACTAACCGCACAGGGCGTTACGCAGATCTTAGATCAATCATTGAATAATCACTACGATTATGAGGAATACTCAATTTAGTCAGTGAGTTGGGTAAGATTGTGCAGAAACCCCCCAGACATCATAGAGTAAAAGTCCCCAAATGTACTAACTCGGAAAAAACTCAACATAACATAACTAAGGTAACTGAGGTAACTTTTTCAATCGAGATTTATTTTTAATGCCATTTTCATTTCTGATTGGTAAATCTCGAGCGAAAAATGTTAAATTATTCTAAAAATGTACGATTGAGCAACAAAATTTGACAGATTGAAAGTAAATCTAGATTGGATCCAGGTTTTACAATCGAAAACGCCATAAGTTAGAATATTATTTTAGAATTAAGTTTTAAGTTTTATAGAGAGGGTATACATATTAAATAATCTAATATAAATATAAATTTGTATTAATGATATGTTTATAAGACATTTGGTTTTTGTTTTGGAAAACTTACAACTTAAATAAGGATAGGTTATACGGAGTCTATTATTGTCGATAGAATTTAATACTGTTGACCATAAGACAATATGTTCTGGTGTGTTTTAGAAAACTTACAACTTTAAAGTCAAATATCACGAAAATCAAGTTTCCTTCACATATTTTAGAGTAAAAAAAATCGGTTAAAATAGATAAATTTATCAAAAATCATTCACGTTAGAAATCAAAGTCATGCCCGAGATTATGTTATCACATACATATTTAAAACTATTTGAAACTTTAATAACGTCTGAAGTGTTCTACACAGACAAGTTTTTTAGAACTAACTAAAACCCTTTAAAACGACGGTACGCTGCAAAATCAAAAATAAATAAAAATGTTTGTTGTTGCAATTCACTACTGTTCGAAACCTCTCTATTGTGAATTTTATTTATATAATTTATTTACAAGTTTCACATCGATCATTTTCAATTATCATTTTCTAGTAAATTATATATTTTATTTTAATTTAAAATATATTAATATATATATAACATATATAATATACATTAATATATAATATATCAGCACAAAAGATCAATTTGGTCGTAGTGCGCCTATCCATTGGGAGCTAGTATCCTGTTCATTTGTAATATATAATATATACTGATATATAAAAATATTTTAATTGTTTTAAAACAAAACAATTAAGAATACACTCTAAAATAAAATTATAATTTAAAATTTTTTTTTTAGGAAATTAAAATTTTTAAAAATCATATTATTACTTAATTAATTATTATTACTGCATAATAATATTCTAACATTCGATAAAGCTATATATAATGTTATAATTTTCTGTTAATTTTTTTTGTTTGGTTTTCATTAGAATACGTCTACTCTCTAAATCTATGTTAAGTGAGTTGTGCCTTACGACTTGCCATTAGTATCTTTTCAAGTTTTATTAGTAACTAGAAACTTAGTAACTTTTTTTTTCAAATTTAATTATCTTTACTGTTTTCACTTAACAACCATAAAATCTATTTATAAAGGAGTATAATAAAAATTAAAATTATGAAATTAACACTTTCTATATGGATTACTCCACATACTACAATGTCATAAATATTAGCATGAAAAATAGGTGTTAAGACGGGTTTATATGGAATTTACTATATGATGAGAAAATTCCTTATTCCGCAAGCAATCAGCATATCAGCAAAGTGGAATGCTGACATGCAAGTACCCATCAAAATAATTAGAATGGTGCAGTGTTGTAGAACTGGTAACGTAGCGCCATTTCAGGCATTTCTTCAATGTGAAAAGAAAATTTAAGTCTTTTGCGAACACGCAAGTAAGCTCACAACATATAAACACTCATTTCTGACATTTTTTCTATGCAGTCAAGCCTACACACTTCGAATAGTTTGAATACAATATGTGCAACTTGGTCGCAAGTTGCTTATGTATGTTGTGGAAAAAAAAATTCAATCAACTTTTTTGCCATGGGACATGCACCAAATGTAAATTTAATTGCAGTTTTAGTTGGACAAATCACAGAAACTTGCACTTACCACAATTTCTTGTTCTTGTTCCTCAATTGTACTTTTGTGCTCCTTCAGCAAAGTTTCCAACTCCTTGTTGCGCTCCAATAGTGTTTTACCCAATTCAGCTGCCAACTGTAGATCTGTAAGAGAGATTAAAAAATAAAATTAAAGAAATTAGTTTTAGATTATTTATTTTTTTCTTTTGTGTTGAAAATATAGTTTTTAAATTATTTTTATTTAACAAATTTCCCATTGAGAAAACATTTTAGATAATGTTAAAAAAAAAGTGCTGCATAAATGTGCAACACCAAGCCTTCAGGCGTTTCTCACATTCATACTCGTATATGTTATATAGGCAATGTGACTACTAAGTGCTTTTCAAAAAAAAAAAGAAAAATTAAATAAACTTTATCTTGATTGGTAATCCAATCGACCAACGAATAGTATAAATAAGTCAAATTTCTATTGACCCAAATTTGAGTAACTACAACTTTTATTTTATATATACGGCTTTTTTATATTGTTTCAACTGTAGTAGTTGTTTTTTCTATTGAATTTTTGTGATTGTTGCATGTGAGTTGAATATACAACAGCTACATATGATTAACCCAACGCCTTAAAGTTTATAATTAATTTTCTTTAGAGGAATTAGAATTTTCTTTAATTAAACTTACGTTCATCAACTGAAGTGAATTTTTCAATTTCTTTTTGTAAATGTTCTACATTTATATTCACCATTTTAACACTAAATAATTTAAATTCAATAAATTATACTATATAGACACCACACTATTTTCCTACTGAGAACTACGTCTTCACTGCCTGAAATAGCAAATAAAACTACTATAAGTAGCGACAACTACGGCGTAATTTGACCAATGTCAATCAGTCAAGAAAGATGTCAAGGAACAAAAATCATGTCAAAGGAATGCAATATACCTGTTACAGTACAAAAATAACCCACTAACAGGTACTCACTGTTATGAATAAATATTAAACACATAAATCTCTTATGTGTAAATTTGCAAATACAAATCCTTCTCCAAATTTTGTGACAATCTTTAACCTCAAGCAATAAAACTACGCGGAGATCTAACGTGGGAAAAACCCAATTTTTTCCATAATTTCTTTTATATAATTAATACAATGGAAGAAGCGATCATCAAAATCATACAAATCTAATTTGTTTTATATTCTTCGCAGAATTTAAGTAGAAATTCTTATTTTAGTTGTGCATTACTATAGATTTTAAAACCTATACATGCCCTCGTTAGGTCAACTGTTGCACAAAGAAATTAAACCTTGAATAACACAAAAACTAAGTGTGTAAATATGCCCGCGTCCAAGTAAATTCTTTTCGTTACCATTCATCCAAGCAGGTAAAAATTAACATACCTGCGTTTGGTGATTCATACGAAATTAATTTATGGCTCGCGTCGAATGTTAATTGAAAAAGAAATTTTTTGTATCTCATTTATTTTTAACCAAAATTTCTGTTTGACATATATTTTTTATTATTTTTGGTATCTAAAATATAATCGTTTAAAAACGTGTTATATTAGTAATACTTAGTAAAAAAAATCCTATTTAATACTATAAATTTTTTTTAATATTGCAAGAATTAAAAATCTTTTTATTTTATGATTGTTTGACACATATTTTTTTTATTATTTTTGGTATCTAAAATATAATCATTTAAAAACGTGTTTTATTAGTAATACTTAGTTAAAAAATCTTATTTAATACTATAATTTTTTTTTTTGATTTTGTAAGAAATATATATAATTAGATAATAATCAAATAAGTACCAATAAAAATTTAAAATCTTTTTATTTCGCGGCTGTTTGACATATTATTTTTACATATTATTTTTTTTTATTATTAGTATTCATAATATAATTGTTTATAAACGTGTTTGTTTAGTAATACTTAGTAAAAAAATCTTATTTAATACCACAAATTTTTATTAATTTTGTAAGAAGTATACACATTTAGATACTAATGACACATTTAGATACAAATAAAAATCAGCACTCCTAGCACTACGCTCATCTTAAGTGACTTTTAAACTAGTGAATGCCTTCAACTTCTCAAAGATCTTGCTGAAAGGAACAGAATCTACATAATATGGATCCCATGACACAGCGATTTTAAAGGCAATGAGAAAGCCGATGACTTACCCAGAAAAGAGGTGGCCATATTGGGTCGAGACCATTCTGCAGTCATTCATGAAGCTTTTTCAAACTTAAAATTAATGAATGGTTGGAAAAAGTAGGTCAGACTGATTGATATAATGTAATTGCATGCAGACAAACTAAAGAATTCATGCCAAATCGATCAAAAGGCAGAACTAGTAAGCTACTACCATAATTCTGAACAGAAAAGTCATCTGACTTGTCACAAGGTTTTTCACTAGACATTGCGGAGACAAAAAACATCTACCGAATCTAGATATTACAAGGAACCATAACTGCAGATTTTGGAAGCAGAAGGAGAGGAAACAGACTTCGGTACTAATCAATATTAAGTCTATCCACTTATAATGGAATTTGGCAACAACACTCCAAGAGGCATAATGGCATTTTTAACTGCTACAAGCTTATGGGACTAAGGTGGGTTAGTCACAATAATCCTTTAAGAATGCAATGACTTGGTGACATACCTCCTAACCCTATGTATATATATTAAATATATTTAAATATATTTAGTATATAAATGTTATATATATAATACATATCTATATTTCGCATATTGCATTTAAAAGTATATATAATATAAAATAATAAAAATTAAAATCAAGTAAATGCAAGTTCTTGGAAAATTACAAATTGAAATAAATTAAATCATTTTGTATTATTATTTCTCATTTATTTTCATTTCGTTATGTTACACCATACCAATAATAATAAAAACCTAGTAATAGTTACCCCAAAACCGATATTATTATTACGTATAGCAAATATTTTTCCTGTTAATGTGCCAATACTAATTTGTAAGTCAATGGTCGATCGTGTTAAGTTATTCGATTGCTGAATGAGCTCAGCAAAAACTATTAAACAAACTGTGAAAAGTATTGGAAAAATATATGTATTTTCAGAGCAATTTTCATACAATAATAAATATTTTTCTTATTATTTACAAATAAAAAAAATATATAAAACTTCATAATTAAAGCGAACCAAAACAGGTGCAGCAAACACTAATAAAATATAATTGTGTGCAATATTTTTAATTTTATTAATTTCGGTGGCAAGTACATATCTCAATTGAATGCTTTAATTTTACAAAAAATAAATATTATTTATTTTTATACACACATGGATATAGTAATAAAGATAATATAAATGATATGCCAACAAATTGAATGAATTACTCAAAAAACGAAAACATTTTTCAAACGAACGCCAAAATGACATGAATGAATGAAATGAAAAATGACGGCATTTAAATAATTAACAATAGTTTTATGTTGCCGATTGTGGAGCAACTGTTGCTGTTGATGGAAATGCGAGTAATTTAAGATTTTTGAAGATTATTTGGACAGAGTAATTTGCATATCTTAATTGAATGTAGAAACGAAAATGTAGCAAATTATATACTGAAATCTAATTACGAGAGTTATTATTAGTAAAGAAAATTTATACAGGAATATATTCAATGCATAGTATTGGACTAAGTTTTAAAATAGTCTTTCTTATTTAAAATTATGGTTAAAATTATTATTAAAACTATTTCAAAATTAGTGCTTTAATGTAGCTTATATTAGCGTAGAATTTTATAAACAGAATATGTTGACTTTTATGTAGGTAGGAATAAAGTGATTAGCACTGACTGCAATACAGAGAATCTTGAGTTCTTAACGAACCCAGATATATGAGAGATATAGTAAAAAAAAAGTGCGGTAACTTATATCCGTTAGATCCATATATCCGTTGAAACAGAATCTGTTGACTTTAATGTATGTATAAATAAAATGATTAGCATTGACTGCAACAGAGAGATTCTTAAGTTCTTAAAGAAGACAGATATATGAGTTAAAAAAAGTGCTATAACTTATATCCGTTGAAGCTATGATTTCAGTTTTATACCCATTTTAGTTATTATTATTAATTAACAGAGATCTTTTCTCTTCGGAAAGACTTATTGGCCACCGGAAATGACTTCACATTCCTTCGTAAAGGATCTCTTTTAGTTGACGTTGCAAGCCATCTATTTTGATTTCTAACCTGCGTCCCAACGTCCACTTTTCAAAGTATTTTTTGGGGACTTCTCTATTTCTTATCGATTTGATGATCTTATTTTGGCAATAAAATAACAACAAATATTATTTATTTAAATAAAAACAACTTTTTCTATATCCTTATGTGTTATTACGAATTATAAAAAATAAATGAATAATATATTCAAACATTGACAAGATACAAAATGGACCCATTTCAAAGTTTATTTGTTTACGGTATGTTGCATTGAGTTCCCGGAAAAATCTGTCTTGTAGGTATTATCTCTCACCAAATAATTCATAAACATTCATTTTTCTTAAAATTGTGTTTTGTTTAGAATAGCAACGTAAAAAGACATTTGCTTAACTTAAGAATAACCTGACTACACTACTGACCATATCTATGGCTATATATACACTGGGCATCACTAAATTACACGAATGTAGATACCGTTGAGAAAATGAAGAAACAATGGTTAATCTTATTGTTAAATATCAACTAACAAAAACAGACTATTGCAAGTAGTCTATTAGTATAATGCAAACAAAAACTCCATTTTTAGATGACTTTTTTATCACGACTCCCTTGGTAGTCAAAGGGTAGACTCAAACCAACTGACAGGATAGAAATTTGTTTTTACCATAGAAGAAACAGGAAACCAAGAACCCCACCCTTAAACTGGCGAGTTTACGAGACCTACCACCATTTTACCATACCACGCTAGATCTGTATTAACATGGTATTACCATTACGATGATACTAGGGATCTATTTAGTTCAATGAATCTTTAGTATTCTATTACAGCAATGCAATAGAGAATTGTATTGGTGTTGCAATATAGCAGAGTTTAAAGCCGTGTAGCTCTTTTGATGAAGGTAAAGAATATCTTTAAAGGGGGTCATACGGGACACCTATGTAAG